CACACTTGTATCTGATGCAAATGCAGCATCTGTGTTTGGTCAGCACCACAGATTAGAGCCTCTGCACCCACAAAAGAAATTAATGTGGAAAAGAGAAATGAATTGTCTTTTATCTGTGTGTGATTACATAGTAGAATTCAGTCCCACACTTCAGACTCTTAAAGATGGGACCACCTTAGAGGTAAACAAATAACTTACCAAATTTCCATTTTTATCATTCTCTTAATAAGACAAAATTAAAAATTAAAATAAAATAAAATAATTAGGAATGATAGTTCCGAATCTGCAGGTAATGGCGAGCAGGCCGCGATCAGATATTTACATCAATCTCCCTGCCTTGAGAAAACTCGATACAATGCTCCTGGTAAAATATAAAAATTTCATCCCCGTCTACATTTCGGTTATCTTACAAGATTACGAAATACCCCCTTAAAGTGCGAAAAAATAATTTCGTTCTGAGGAGTCGTTTCGTACATTTGTAACAAATTCCAGGGCAAAAATGCATTTTTACTCCTGTTAGTTTAATGCCATAGCAATTTTAGTCCCAATGTTCTAACTTTTCGCCTTTTGGTCCTGTAATTTTTGCAATTTCATTTTGAGGACTGAAATTGCAACAAAATTTTGAATTACAGGACTGAAATTACAACAAAATTTTAAATTACAGGACTAAAATTGCAAATCGAAAATCTGGGAATTTGTTGCAATTTCGAGGACTGCAATTTAAAATTCTGTTGCTATTTCAGTCCTTTATTGCAACAAAATATTAAATCACAGTATCAAAAGGCGAAATGCTAAATGTTGGAACCTTGGCACTAAAATTGCTATGACGTTAAACCAGCAAGACTAAAAATGCAATTTTTCCCTTTCACAATTAGACCAAACCTCAGGGGTCGTTCGGTAATTCTTTTTTTTTTTTTTCCTGTCCAGCAGGGAATACTGGACAGCTTTCAAGAAACCGAGTTCTGGTACGCTGAACAAGGAAGCATCTCTGCAAATTCGTCTCGTTCGTTTAGGAGAGTAAGTGGCCAGCATAAGTCTCAGCATTCGGACGATAAGTGGTGGCTGCCTGTGCCCTGCGTGGGGCCCGATGGGCTTTCCGAAAAATCCAAGAAATATCTGAGGCAAAAACGAGACTGCGCGTACCAAATCCACAAGGCGGCCATGGCCATAAACAGCGGCATTCTTGCTGAGATGCAGATTCCGGACTCGTACATGGCTTCCCTTCCTAAGGTAACCCAACATTTTTCATTCTGTTAAAGCCCGAAAAATCTGAGGTCTTAAATCCGGAAAGCTTTTTTTTTCTCCTTCTTAGGGTTCCGCTTAAATGAGTTTTTTTGGTTAACTAGAGTTAATTTTGAAAAAATTGGTATGGTTAGTTGTTAGTGGTACTTTAGTTTATATTAAAATAATATTTAAAATAAAATAATTAAAGTTGATTTGAGAAGAGAGATTATGTGAATTGATGGTTAGTTAAAATTATGTGATTGGATGAATAGTGAATTAAAATTGATATGATGTGCAAAAATGATTGTTTGGTATTATTTAATTATATTGATAATATTGACGATAGTGAGATTGAGTTAAAGTTGAGTCGGATTTTGAGCATGAAGGAATAAAAAAATTTGTAAACAACACCCTCTTAAAGAGGAAAAACTAGGAAGATTTGTAAAGCCATCCCTGAAATCTTGTTTAATTGCGAAAGGACCCCGGATATTTTTCAAAATTGAAAACCAGAGTTTGGTTTTATTTTCACAGATTGCAACTCCAGATAAATACATATCAGGGGGTGTGTGACTGTTCATACCTCAAGGGATAGTTGTAAAATCCAGCCCCCAATTCTAGAATAATTACAAAAAGACTCAGAGAGGAGGAACCTGGAATTACATAAAAACCCAATTGTTTCAATTCAGACTTACAATTTCCCATTTTGTTTGAGTATGATGAAAAAAATAAGCTCCTTACATTTATAGATATATCACACTTCGCAGATTCCTTCTTAGATTGAACACTTAACCTTTGGGTCCTTTACCAGTTACTACTATACTCAAATTTTTATCTATTCGGCATTTGTAATTACTAAAAAATGTTGGAGCTTTTTCCGTAACAAGACTAAACTTCATGGGCAGTTTTCACAATTTCCCCATGAAATTGAAACCCTGTCGCTCCACTGCTTGTCAATGCTCAGCTTTGTCCAACATTAACTTCAAAATTTACAGANGAGAGTACCGATTTTATTTATTTATTTATTTATTTTTTTCAAAATCTCAATGCATATATTTGTTCATTTGCTCCTTTCTTAACTTGTGACCTTTATTAGAGTGGAAAAGCAAGCATTGGGGACAAAATATACCGATACATGTACAATGCGGAGAACTTTTCGCCCGACCGATTGCTCAATTCTCTCGACATAAGCTCCGAGCACGAGGCACTTGAGCTAGCAGATAAGGTGGAAGCTTCCATGTACACGTGGCGCCGTAAAATCTGCATGGCCCACTCGAAATCCTCGTCGAACAAGAATCACATCCTATCCGAAAGAGCTGATACTCTGTTGTTCTGCCTCAGACAAAGGTATCCCGAGCTTTCGCAAACTACATTGGACACGAGCAAAATCCAATACAACAAGGCAAGTCTTCTTCTCATCTTTTTACTTTTTATTGCTTTTATTTTTCGACATATAAGGACATTCTCATTTTAAGTTACGAATATTTCGGAATAATTAATTCAAGAAAGATTTTAATAATTAAGATGGAGTTTTTCGTAATTGGGACACGAGCAAAATCAAATGAAACGAGGGAAGTCTTCTCATCTTTTCTTTTGATTTTGCTTTTATTTTTCGACATAATGACATTCTCAATTAAGTTACGAATATTTCGGAATGATTGGAGAAAGATTTTAAGAAATAATCAAAACTAGACCCCACTGGGGTATGTTCTTATAATTAAACAAAATTTTTCGTAATTGGACACTTGCAAAATCAAATGAAACAAGTGAAGTCTCCTCATCTTTTCTTTTGATTTTACTTTTATTTTTCGACATAAACGATATTCTCAATTAAGTTATGAATATTTTGGAATGATTTCAAGAAAGATTTTAACGAATAGTTGAAAACTAGACCCCAAGTATGATCTTATAATTAAGCGGAATTTTTTCCTAATCGGACACGAGCAAAATAAAATAAAACAAGGGAACTCTTCTCGTCTTTTCTGTTGCTTGTTTTTATATGCGACATGATGATATTTCTCATTTAAGTTACAAGCATTTTGGAGAAATTCAAGACATACTTTATAAATAGTTAAAACTAGACCCCAAGTATATTTCTATAATTAAACGGAATATTTTTATTATCTCTCTCTCTCTCTCTTTCTCTCTAAAAGAAAATGAATGAAATCGGGCTTCGATACGTATTGGTTGCAGGATGTAGGGCAAGCAGTGCTTGAGAGCTATTCAAGAGTATTGGAAGGTTTGGCATTCAACATTGTGGATTGGATTGAGGATGTAATCTTGGTAGATAAAACCATGAAAAATTAGGTGTAGATATGTAATATGTTACTCTAAAGCAAACAACTTGATTTTTGTACTAAGGTCATTTCCAGCCCTTATCTATACTCTAGCGTGGATTTGTCTCTACTCTAGAGTAGAGTGAAACATTTGTCTCCAACCTTATCTCTACATTTTACTCTATATTATTTACATTTATTCTTATTATTTTAAATTAATTTTAGTACCAAAAATATAATTTGATGAATACGTTATCTTACACATATTTTTTATCAATATACGATTGTAAAAATATAATTAAATACAACATTATTTATTTTAAGATTATTTTATTTATTAGAAGATTAATCATGTATTTCCTACAACATCAAGAATATTTTATTTATTAGAAGATTAATCAAGTATTTTCTACAATAACATCAAGAAAGTTATAGTACATTCTCCATCCATAATCTAAGTCACAAAATTTTACTAACAATATATATAGAAGTAAAGATTATTATGTTAGCTACAATATAATATATATATATAGATGTCAATATTATGTTATTTAATAAAATATAATCAATATTATTAATAAACATTATAAAAAAATATATCTTATATAAATATTTGTTTTATTGTGGTAAATTTATATGAAATTCATGCGGAGTTTTGAGTCATTTCGCGAAAATAGGCCCTAACTTTGAAACTGCATAATGCTCCAATTAGAACTGATTATCTATCATAAATTCACTGCACCTTTTTTTTTCATAAACAAAAACTCACTAACAAAATGAGTAGATGTTCATTAGTTTAAACTGCATAATGCTCCAATTAGAACTGATTATCTATCATAAATTCCCTGCACTTTTTTTTTTCCATAAACAAACAACTCACTAACAAAATGAGTAGAACAAAATAGAAAAATTTCTCTTTGATGTTCATTAGTTTGCATCTTTTTTCCATAAACAAACAACTCACTAACAAAATGAGTAGAACAAAATAGAAAAATTTCTCTTTGATGTTCATTAGTTTGCATCTTTTTTCCATAAACAAACAACTCACTAACAAAATGAGTAGAACAAAATAGAAAAATTTCTCTTTGATGTTCATTAGTTTGCATCTGATGTGGAAAATGGGTAGAAAATGTACAAAGTATATGCTTGATTTTTTTCCCTAATTTTTATTTATTTTATTTCTCTTTGATGTTCATTAGTTTGAACATGATGTGGAAAATGGGTAGAAAATGTACAAAAGAAGTATATGCTTGATTTTTTTCCCTAATTTTTCTTTATTTTATATAGGTTACGATAGCCTTAATTCTTTTGATAGGTTTACATATTTTTAACTATCAATTCTTTACAATTATTATTTTACTGCTTATATTATATCAACTATAATCATTACATTTAAGTTATTAAATACTCACCAACCTAAAATCCAACTCAATAACATTTTTCAATCTTAACCCACTTTATTCGATAAATCAAATTAAATCCAAAAAAATTATTTCCAATTACACTAATCTTCTTAAGGTTGAAATAATTGTTCAACATAGGGCTGGTATTATTTGACCGAAAATCGAACCGAATCGAACAAAAACAGATAAAAAAATAAACATGAACCGAACCGATTCTTGTGTAACAGTAACAGATAATCAGTTATAGAATTCTTAACCGAAACCGAACCAACTCTTGTGTAACTGACCGCGCGTCGCGACGCGGTAAATTTAAATTTATAATTATTTTCCTCAACTAACTTCTACTAGCTAGTAGTAGCGGCGAGTAATGGTCGATCCCAGGAGGAGCAGAAATTAAATTGTGATAATTCTATATTAATTAAACTAAACTAAGAAAGCAATAAAAATGGGGGGATTGGTTAAAAATAAAAATAAAAATAACAAAATAAAATAAAAATGAAATAAAATGAGAGAAGTCCAGTTTTTGGTTCAGTTACCACCAATCTCAATCTACCGTTAATTAATTTCAACGCTTTCTCTAGATTGTTAATGAATTACCAACCCTAGCTAACAACAAGCTCTGTTAACCAAATTTTCCCTTACTGAATATCCAATCGAAATAATCTCTTCGACTAAACCTAACTAGCGGACAACCTAGAATAAGCTCTCTAGATTTAGTGCACTAGCAACATTAATTCCTAGGACAATAGATCAGTTTAAGCAGTGGAAGCAAAAGCTCGGACCATTTAACTTATGTTCATGTTACCCTAGAGATGCACGACCCCTAGTTTACTACTAACGAAACGAGAACAATAACAATTACGGATTAAAGTATCGTCTCTAGCAACTAAACTACGAATATTTAACTTAGTCGGCCAAACTAAACCAAACACTCATAATTCATAAACATTAAACGCAGATAACATGAATCAACTCATCAACAAAAATAAATATAGCGTCTCGATTAACCAACGATAAATAAAAATCCTTAAATTCATAGACAAATCAAAGTTATGGTTCAAACATCCCCTAAAACTGGATTAAAAATCTAAACTAACATATTAATAAAATAAATACTAGGTAAAAGAGAGAGAATAAAATTTTCCCTCATGTGCGGGTGCGGCTTTCCTCCGCGTGTGTTCTTTTCTCCTTCTGACGTGCGGCTTTTCTTTCTTTGTGCGGCTCTCGCCCCTCTGTTATTTTTCTCTACGTTTCTCGTACAACTAATTCCCTCAAACTTAACAGAGTCCCACAAATAAATCGGCTCCTCACAATTAAATCATAAACAACCTTTATTTTCCAACCAATCACAAACTTGCCCTTCAAATTAAAGTGCTGCGGCTCTTTTTTATCCTTTTAGCCAAAATGTGATCAGTTCCAAATTGCACATAGTTAATACATACATATATTGGCCAATCCAATTAACCACTAGCACCCACTTTGCACTCAAATCATGTTGGGCCTTAAATTATGTGTCTTTCTTGGGCCGAATATTAGCAGATGTTGGGACGAAATAACGGACTGGTATTGGACACTCCAAAATTGCTCGTGAGAATCCCGTCCAAGGCTCTCGTTCCAAAAATACTCAATAATACTGAAAATAAATATAAAAATATTAATGTATATGAATCCATCCAAATAATAAATAAGTCAAAAAAATATAAAAGTGTGAATAAATTTAGTGTATAAAAATACACTATTAAATATATAAAACGCGCACATTTTGTGGCCTATCAGTAACGGTAACCGATAATCAGTTACATAATTCTTATCAGTTCGGTACTGGTTCCGAACCCATTAGGATTCAGTTTTACCGAACGGAACCGATAATATATTAAAAAAATAGATGTTAGATAATAGATAGATTATTAATTTATTAGGCATTAATAAAAGTTATATTAGTTAAAAAAAATAAATTAAGCTAATAAAATGTCTTAATTAAATTACTTGACTGATTGAATTTAGGGATGCGAATTAGAAATCAGATCACCTTCCTCTATTTCCCGTTCTCCTTCACCTTCAGGCGAATAAATCAGAATTGATTGAGCCTCTGCCTAGACGTGAGTTCACCGTTCATCTCACTTTCGCCTCCTTCCTTCACCTTCGTCTCTTATGTCACTCGTCGGAGTCGCTTCTCTCACTCGTTGGAGTTGCGATAGGGCTGGTATGTATTTTATTTATACTTCAAACTGATTTTTCTCATTAATGTTTTGTTTAGTTGAATTAGTTCTTTTTTGTGTGTAGAAGTTGTGATGTGAGGCAATCTATTAATGGTTATGTTGTGAACTCGATTTTTCTGGAAATTGAAGTATTGATTTTTGTATTTTTTTTTTTTATGATTGTCTGTATTTTGTTGAGAAGGAGTTGCAGAAATGGGGAGGGAGAAAGGATAGAACACGTGAGGGGAGGAGAGAGAAATTGAGAGAGTGAGAGATAATTTTTGACATCCAAATCTTACTTCATTTCTCCTATTTTCACCCTATTAATAACCACTCATGGGTTCTAATTAAACCTAATAACATCAACCCACTTAGTAACTACTACATCTCATAATAGGCCCAATTACATCTACTAATAACAAAGCCCAAAATAAAACTACTAATAAACCTAAAGTAACATAATATTAACTAAGCCCGGATATATATAAAGCAGAGGCCCTTCACTTCACCCTACCCGATTCATCTCCATAATCGGGTACATGACAATACTCCCTTCTCGAAAGAGTCTCGTCCCCGAGACTCATATGCTGAAAATCTCGGCATTCCATGAAGCGCATGAGAAGAACTTGTACGACCCAACATACAAGCATACTAAATTGGCCGCTCCAAATGTTAATAGCCCAAACCAATTGTGATCCGGCCCAGTCCACGTCCATCAGGGCAGCAAATAAAATGAACCAACCTAAATCATCACCCTTGTCAGCCCAAAGCCCAACCACCTTTCCTTCTTGGCCCAATTCAATTTTTCTCAAGGCAGCCCAACACTCAATTAAAAAATCAATGACGCTCCAACCCAAATTCAGATGCAGCCCCACCAAAATCCAATTCTCGAAGCTTCTTTCATCGACCACTCTTCCCCAGAAATCCAAAATCCTTCTCAGCTCCGGTCTCCGGCCATCACACCGCCAAGCAATTCTCCGTGACCACGTGTACGCCACGCTCACCGCACTCGGCCCACCAAAAGAATCATAGCACATCGCCAACCTTCTCCTATTCTCGAAGCTTCGGTCATTTTCCTCTCCACCATCAGAAATTCGACGATGCTCCGATCGTCTTCTCCGGCCATCATACCTCGGAGAAATTCGCCGAGACCACGCGTCAGAACGCCCACCTCTCTCCTCCAAGCTCGGTGGCCCGTTCTGCTTCTCCTCGACAATCGTGGTGATGGCGTATGGAATCGATCTGGTCCGCTCCTTCATCCCACGTCTCCTCGTCGTCGTCACCGCATCGCGGCCACACCCCAAGGACCACCGACGACTCGATCTCCTTCCAGATCGAGTCTCGATGTAGGAATCGCGAACCTTCTTTCGTACTGCAGAGTCATCCATGGCTAGGGTAGAAAATTTGCCCAACCGAGGTTCGAAATCCAGCGCCGACGTCCCACGTTCCTCATCTATCCGGCGACAACAAGCTTCTAACCGACTGGCGTGTTTCTGGGCACCTCCGTAGCTGCAGACCTCTCTCATGATTTTAGTTTGAATTCCCGATCCACCACCGTGTTTCCAAATCCGGCGAGCCCAAGCTTCCGACCGCCTACCACGCCTGGAAATTTGATGGATCCGAGCCTTCTCTCGACCTCCGTCGTGACTCTTCTCAGTATCGGACCGTCGGTAACGAGATCTACGCCTACCGACATGTTTTGGAGGCCGGCGAGACCAAGCCTTTTTGAGGCTGCCGCCCCTCGTCTTCTCCACACAGCCCTCACCTCGTGCTCGTCTTCCACGATCTATCACGAAGGACGTCCATCTCAACGTTACCGTTCTCACTTGGAACAGTCCCAGGAGCTCCAGTTCACCTTCACCAGGAAGATCGAGTACTTCATCGGGCTCTCCATCTTTCGGTGTTTGGTTATCCACTGCAGCCATATCTAAGACCTCAACAAATTCATCGACATGTGGTATCGTTTCCAGGTATGTATGCTCGCTCACAGCCACACGTATTGGCTTTTTTGCTTTGAAATTTCGATCGGTTTTTCAATCAACACTGAGCTTCCATGTTCTTCAGTTTTTTCCTCATGAATTTCGTGAAAAATGGGATGTGATTCTAGATTGTTTGGTTTTTGGGTTGTGGTGTTTTGTTGTTGATTTTCACTTGAAGTAGGTCTTGGATTTTTCTCCTGAATTTCATGAAAATATGGCTGAGAGTTTGGAGGGTTTTGAGTGGAGGTCAATTGGACAAGGTTTTGTGTTGGGTACGTTTGAGCTGGGAGATTCAGGATTTGGGTTGGTTTTGCTTTTTTCTGATTTTTGTTTTGAAGATTGAAAATAAGTTGTTGAATGGATTCAGCTACCTGAATGGCTTGATCCAATTTTTGATTCAATCCAAGCATCTGCTCCTGAAAATTTGATTTGAACCCATCAATTTGGCTTTGTATCTTCAAATGGCTAGCCTCTCTTTTTTGGATTTCCACCATTAATTTTTGCTCCATATGTTTTTGTTGCAGCTCTAACTGGTCGAGAAGAAGCTCATCCTCCATGGTCCGAGGATCGACTGCTCTGATACCAATTGTTGTGAACTCGATTTTTCTGGAAATTGAAGTATTGATTTTTGTATTTTTTTTTTTATGATTGTCTGTATTTTGTTGAGAAGGAGTTGCAGAAATGGGGAGGGAGAAAGGATAGAACACGTGAGGGGAGGAGAGAGAAATTGAGAGAGTGAGAGATAATTTTTGACATCCAAATCTTACCTCATTTCCCCTATTTTCACCCTATTAATAACCACTCATGGGTTCTAATTAAACCTAATAACATCAACCCACTTAGTAACTACTACATCTCATAATAGGCCCAATTACATCAATTAGTCATGTACCCGATTATGGAGATGAATCGGGTAGGGTGAAGTGAAGGGCCTCTGCTTTATATATATCCGGGCTTAGTTAATATTATGTTACTTTAGGTTTATTAGTAGTTTTATTTTGGGCTTTGTTATTAGTAGATGTAATTGGGCCTATTATGAGACTTAGTAGTTACTAAGTGGGTTGATGTTATTAGGTTTAATTAGAACCCATGAGTGGTTATTAATAGGGTGAAAATAGGGGAAATGAGGTAAGATTTGGATGTCAAAAATTATCTCTCACTCTCTCAATTTCTCTCTCCTCCCCTCACGATGTTCTATCCTTTCTCCCTCCCCATTTCTGCAACTCCTTCTCAACAAAATACAGACAATCATAAAAAAAAAAAAATACAAAAATCAATACTTCAATTTCCAGAAAAATCGAGTTCACAACAGGTTATGCTTGAATTTTGATTCATACGGGCAAATTTTATGTTGAAGAATTATGTGATTGTTAGTGGTAGGTTTGGTTGTTTGACAGTGTAATATTTCTGAAATTTAGAAATACTAAGGCCCCAGGGAATTGCATCCTTGTATGCTTATATAGTTATATTATCTCCCTTTTCTTTTTTCTCATATGAACTAAAGCAGTGGAATTACATGCATCTAAGGATTGATATGTTTTAGTTTTCCATTGTTATTTAGCTGAGTGGAATTACATGCATCTAAGGACTGCTATGTTTTAGTTTTCCATCGTTATTTAGCTGATTGGTATTCACATTTGTAATTTGTTATCCTGTCTGTTAAACTTGTGATTGAATTTGGAAGTTGGATACTTGGATTTTGTTATCCTGTTAAGCTTGTATTGTATTCACTTATTTGTTATTTGTTAAGCCTTAAGCCTGTTATTTGGATATGGTGTGCCTGCTGCTGCTTATTTTTTTCCTCTCTTTGTATGCCCAAGAAGTCTGCTGGTTTTGTTTTTTTTTTCTTTCCGTCTGCCAATAAACAGTAATTTCGGTTTTTTTCGGTTCTTATTGGTTTAAACCGAAACCGCACCGCCTTATCGATAACCGGAAAATCGGTTACCGACCTCTTATCGGTTCGGTTTCGGTTTGAATATTAGTGAAACCGAAATCTATCAGTTCGGTTTCGGTTTTATGTTATCGGTTCGGTTACTGAACCGATACCAGCCCTAGTTTAACATTTGCAGTGATATTTTGAGCATAGTTAATTTACTATCCTCACGTGTCTCTTGACTAGAGGTGTTCATGGGTCGGTTTTGTCTCAAAATTTAATAACCCAATGACTAATACCAAAATCGAATTAATCTATTTTTCGTACTGAACCGAATTTGAATAGATATGAAATAAGTGTTTAATTCCGCGGATTACCAAAACATATCATATATAAATAGATACATCTACTTTTTTTTATCATTTAAGTCATTATTTATACTTTTTATCCTAAAAATATAATGTATATGAATATATGGATACATAAAATAATATAATATCCTATGTAATTAATCGGTTTGGTTAGTTCAATTTTTTAAAAAATAAAAATAAAATCAACCAAAATAATCATGATTTTAAAAGTGAAAACCAAAAACCAAACTTATATAATAATAACAAAAAACAACCATAATCGATGTTTCGGCCGATTAAATAACCGGATTTTGCACACCTCAAATCATAGCCATTTTTCCAAAAATAGAATAAAAATAAAAAAATAAAAAAATAGAAAAAACGATCTCCTGCTTAATTGCCCACAGTTTCCAAAACTAGTGACCGTCGGATGAATGAATTTACCCTCCAACGGCCAGATTAGGGATTCTTTCAACCATTTTTTTCCCTCGCTGCTCTGGGATAAACCCTAGAAATTGCTTGCAGATAGGGATTTTTGGGTTAATTCTTGGGTTTTTCTGACCTTTTATTTGTCAGGTACACCTCATGATTTCTTTTAACTTAACAACACGTCAAAATATATACTTCAAAGCTGTTTGCTTTTTCTGTTCTTGTGAATTGCTTGTTCGTGGGTTTTGTGTTGAAATGAAATCATGCCTCGTTTGAATTTGTTTTCATGTGTTTAAGCTGCTGAATGCAAGTTTCGTGAATATTTGAGTTGATTTTGTCAGTGGGTTATTTATGTGCCCTGAGTTGATTTTCCATCTTTTGTTACTGTGAAAATGAATCTGAGCATAATCGATATGATATGATATGGTGAACTTTGATATGAATACTGTGAGAGAAGAGAACTTCATATTTACGATTCTGAGTTGCAGATGGTCTAAAGCTGGTAGCTTTAAGCCTTTTAACAATATTTCATATCCATTTTCTGTGTATAGCTGGAGATGAGATCTCTATTTGCTCTTTTCATCGCTCAAAGGAAAATATTTCACCATCCGAAAGAATATTCGTTTGTCATTTGGCGTTTCTTTACATATAGGATGGTATTTTAAAACAGAAAAATTATGTACTTGATTTGGTTCCTGATTAGTAGGGATGACAAATCGTGATTACGTGATATTGTGATATCTTGTTTGTGTTTGGTTTTTACTATCGTGTTTTTACCTACTAATCTGATTGTTTTAACTTTTTAATTCATCAAGACTCATCTTGGAATTGGTAAACTGCAGAAAAAGAGCATGTAAATGGACCAATGTTGATACTTTCTCTTGTTATTTTTCTTTTTGTTTTTTAAATTTCCTATATTTGAGTCATACACATGTTATTCTGATTAAGAACACCGATAATTTTCAGGTGTATCAAAATGGCAACTTGTACTGAAGAGGATCCGAAAAATAAACCACAGCCGCAATTAGTGAGGTTGGACAGAGCATTCAAACTGGTAACCATATATTCATATTCCGGAACACTTTTATTTACAAAGTTCTCCCCCACAATCTTCACTATTTCAAACACCTTCTCATTAATGAGTATTTTGTAGTTTTGAAAGTGAACTTTGTTTCGTTTTTCATTGTGTGTGTGTGCTTGTGTGATTATGCATAACTCCAAGGGTAAATTGTGTTACTTAAACGGTAATTTCTGTAATTTCTGTGCAGGCTGAACAGTGGGTTAACAACATGAGTAAATCCTCAGTGGATGAGAAATCGAAATCGACTTCTGTAGATTTGGAAGGGCGTCCGGCTAGGTTAGTCCATTTACATACAGAGGATTTACTGGTTTTTTTTTTTTTTTTTTTTTCTGGTTTTTTGAAGGCTGGGTATTGGTGCAACTGTTCCTAAAGAGTCTAGAGTCACGCGTTCTGATAATCCAGTCGAGAGAAAATTGATTGCCACATTGAATGCTAACAAAAAGAAAGCCATAACGAAAAATGAGGCTCCATCTGCAAAGGTCGAAAATGTCCTTGGTGACGGAAGTGACGAGGACGAGTCGGAAAGTAAAACGAGATCTTTTACCAAGAAGAGACCACCGAATTTCTCACATTCACTTCTACAATCGAAAAAACATAAATAATCAGGCATACTGTGTGAAGGAAGAGCAGTATTTTCAAGTTTTTAACTGTTTTTGTCTGCTCCATAACTTTTTGCTAAGGAGATTTTTTTTCCTCATTAATATGTGGTATGTAAAAGTGTGAATCTTTTGTTCCTGTGTGAAGGAAGAGCAGTGTTTTTAACTGATTTGTTCTCTCCATAACTTTTCACTAAGGACATTTTTTTCTCTCATTAATATGTGGTATGTAAAAGTGTGAATCTTTTGTTCTTGTTATATTTTATTCTTGGTAACAAGTTCAGATAAGCACCATAACACAAAGTTCAAATTAAGTTGAAACTGAAGTTGAACTAAACACATGTATTGTACAAGTTAAAAGGCATTACAGGTGAGGATGGAAAAATGAAATACAAATTCTCAGATGCTTTCTTTACAAACAAACCTTTTTGCAAACCAAACAAGATGAAAGTACAACACACAAACTGAGTACAAACCCCAAAACCTATGTGCAAACCAAACAAGATAAAAAGACCACACAAACTGAGTACAAACAAAACAAAACAAAACAAGAGCTCGACTTCTTTCACGAGGTTAGTCATTGTATCGATCAAGGGGACCCATTATTCCTCATTCGTAAGTTCTTGCACTAAAATCTCACAACATAGTAACGTCATAAGATTTTGGTTATCCTTACCGAAATCCCAAACCGAACCCATGCGAGCCTAAAAAACTAACTCCCGAGACCACTCAACACAAATGTAGTTTGAAAAACAAGTAGTCGGTTATCACTTATTACCCCCTACGAATCGACATCCTCGATGTTTGTGGACTCACTATAACACACGTCAAACTCACGCTCGAAAGCACAATCCCCAAAACACCCTAAAAAAATTTCATCCACCAACTCATCAAAAATTATCTCCTCAACTTCTTGCACAATAAGCTCAACATCCGAGTTTTCGGTGGACCCCACCAAGTCCCTCTTCAAGAGCCCGTCGAGAGGTAGAGACTGTGAATTATTATGAAGAAGGCGCTTTTCGACTCTTTCCCACACATCATGAATGAGGTCCATCCCTTTAGGCAACGGCCGAACATTAGTTTTAGTACTTCTCGATTTTCCATTAAAGCACCCAAAGTAATCCTTGCAAACCTCCTCTAAAGCCTCGTTGGCACAGTCGAACAGGAGTTTCTGGTCGTGGTGGGGCCGGCTTGAGAACAGCTCAACCTCGTCGAATAGTGAGGAGTCGAGGATTTCGTACGAGGAAAGCCACCTCAGCAGGAACTCGTCCCAGTTCAGACCTGAGCCGAGTAGAACAGCCTCTACATACTCGAAAGCAGATTCTTCGCCCTCGGGTGAGATCCTTGTGCAAATTCCTTGGTCGTGATCAGAAGATTGTTCTTCTTCGAAAATGATGTGTCGTGGTTGAATCTCCTCTTCGACTGAAATGTCAGAAAATGATAGATATTTATTTTCATTCAGCGAAAAAAATTTTAGCACACAGAAAAAATGACAGATTATTTCAGTTCATTATTGACATGGATAATTAACAGAAATATGAATGTTAATTTAATAACCAAAAAAAAAAAAAACCTTGTAATCTTAGATATATATGGATATAACATAAAAGAAAATCTGAGGGAGGTAACTTGTAAAGTTAAAAGAAATGTTTTGTTTTGAATTAGGCAAAGTCTTGAGTAGTTTTTTGTAATTATACAGTTATTAAGTGTCTGACCCGGGTGAGATATAGTGCTTGCAGGAGTAATATCATCATCTGTGAATAACGGCTCAAGAACAGATACTGGACTGGGTTGTTCAATCTTTTCGATTATACGATTCGAATCATCAATTTCGGTGGTAGCTCGATCAGGTGGAGACGGTACTTGGTCGTCCACAGATAAATTCTGGGTAAAAAAACCACAAAACAAGATACATAATTAGAAAATTTGAAGGAAGATACATTGAGACAGAACAGCATAGCCTATCAAACAAGAATCCACCTGGGCATAAGGAGAAGCTTCGTCTCGTTTCATTTTCAAGCAGATTAGTTCCTCTTTTATACTTTTCACAAACAAAGAATCATATTCGATTCAAAATTATTTATAGTAGGGAATTATCAGTTTTCTATTCCATTTTCACGTAAAATAGTACCTCGGACATATCGCTTCAATTCTCTGCTCGGTATATAGCACAGGTATATATCACTCGCTGTTTACGACTGGCATCATTACTAGCTGGCACAGTTATATCTACTTTAATGTATTTACCTTTCTACATCAATTTTATGGGACCCACCACCAACAAATATACTCTGATATGTGTGTATCAAATATACTGTCGAGTTTTAAAATTATCACATTTTTTTTTTTTTTGAAAAGTCCTCAAAACACGAAAATACAAATATCAATCATCAATTTGCATTCAAAACTCTGTCAAAGCTACTCCACCAAACACATTTTATTTTTCCGACTATACAAAACCAATAAACTCTCAAAATCGATAGCAGAGGTTTGGGGGAAAATGGACAATGGGCAGTTGGGCACAAAATCATATAGGGCCTCAATTCTCACATGTTATTAGTTTAGACTACTTTTTTAGTTCGAGAAAGAGCCAAAGGATGGGAAGACCTTACCGATTTGAAGCACAGAGAACCACTTTCTTCATCGTCTACTTCTCTAGTGTCTACATTTTGATTATCTTCACCTATTGAGATATCAATGGCCTTTTCCTCTCCCTGATCCCTTAACCCATTCGTTCTTTTGGTCTCCAGTTGAACTGTATCATAAAATGAAAAGAAAAAAAAAAGGATTACCAAATATTTTAGCCTTCCATAATTATCCATCAATAAGATATGAAAAATTACCTTCAAAAACTATGGTATCATCATTAAAGCATCGAATTTCTAAAAAATCTTCTCGATAATCTCCAATTGAATTGTCAACATTCGCAAGCATGGTTTGTTCTTTGTTGCCAGAGTTACTACAGGAGACACAGGGTTGACTTTCCGAATTTTGCACTGTTAAACTTTGATCGTTCTTTACCGTGCCATGTGGAGATAATCTCATTTGGGCAGCTATGAAAATCTCATCACTGTGCTTTTTAGGGCTAAGGCAAGGCGATACATTATTATACTCAGGAAAAGAGAGAATTCGACCAAGGGGCTTTACTGAATTATTATTCCCAGACACTGACTCAGTATTCTCATCACCACTCTTTACCATCTCGGATAAATGTTTCTTAGCCTCAACGTAAATGTTGGATCCTCCAAGCCTCAGAGTTTCCGAACCTTCATCTTTCATCTTGCCAGCTGGCACACCTTTCTTGACGCTAGGAGAAGAAAGAGTGAATCTTTCCATATAAAAATGGTTTCTATTAGGGGACTTCCACCCGAAACTTTCTCTCTTTTCACCATTATTATCGTTTGAGGACTTGGGAGAAAGCTTCTCAGGCGAGATCCCTTGTCTCTCTTTTCCCATAGCATGCCTTAGCTTTCTTTTAATCTCCATGAAAGAGAACTGAGATACATTTGTGTTTCTCTCATTATCAGCAATATCGGTTACTGGGCTTCTGGGCATGGCCTGGCCAGGCTTCAAGATGATGATTTTATTCGAAGATTGACTATCCTTATTTTTATTATTATCCACTCCCTGGGGAAAGCTTTCAAGAGACTTGGTCCTCCTCGGGAAGAAACTACGATTTTTATGGCTACTTAACTCTTCGGGCTTTGGGTTAACCGGCGAACAACGGGCCGATTGATCCTTTTTGCTTAAGCGAGCGTCTTCAAAATTTTTTATGTGCTTAACCAGTTCAGAATTGGGATCCTCTAGAAGATTCAAGAATAATCCCTTATTCGAACTTAAAGTCTTCAAAGCATCCGTTAGCTCCAGGGAGCGAAAACTGTTCTCCTCGCCACCAAAACGCTTGCTGTTGCTTAATCTCTGTTCTATAAACAGCTTTACTGCTTGAACTAACTTCTCTTCGACTACAGTAATAGCATCACTGGATGGTATATCAATGTCAACATCAAAATTCTGGATATTTGTGTTTTTCTTGTCAATATCTGCCAACTCTTGCAATATTCTTTCCAGGTTAAAATTACCCAATAGCTTCTGGTGGCGATCTTGGTCCAAATCCATGTCGACGGACTTGGCTGACGTTTTCTTTTTCTTTTGATTCTTTTTCAAATGATTTCCTGATTTTGATTTGATTTGTTCGGAACAAAAATTTGAGTCATTTGGTTGCTCATTGAACATTTCCTCTTCCATAAGTTCCTTCACACTTGTTTTAGATGCATCAGACATAGGCATCTTACTTTTGTCAGTGTCCTAGTTTAGCAAAGAAGACAATTAACAAAAAAAGAAAAAAACGTTAACCATAGAGAAGGAGCCCTGAGATTAGGCCTAGCCACACAATAACTAATGAACAAACAAAACTGAACCACCTCATTGAGTTTCTTTCTTTCTTCCCTCCCGACTTTACGNGCGTGTTCAGAATTTAATTTCTAAAACACGATAGATAGCAAGGAAATAAATTAAGTAATTTCAAGTGATAGTTTCAAGTCTTTTAAAGTGAAATCTTAAAGGTAACTTGTAATTGACCTTAAAACACAAAATTCAAACTATAAGTCAGCAGGATAGCAAAAATAACATACCACTGATGTTTCACACTCTACAGTTGAACTCGGCGAAACTATGTTGTTACTCAAATGGCCAGCGCCTGAAAAAAGACGTAGTACAGTTCGTTAAAAATAAAAAAATCAAAGTTCCTGAAAGAAGATTAAGATTAAAAATTGTTTCATTAACATTTACAAAATAAACTCTTACCCTCAGCTTGTTTGCTGACTTGCTTTCTATCAGAAAGCAATCGTTTACTGGATCGACCGTGACGAAAGTTAAACACATTAATTAAACCAGATATGCAACCGGCCTGATCTCTTTCATGTCTTGACGGGCGTTTTTTTGATCTCTTAGCCATTGTGAGTTTTACCTGGCTCTACACTTTACAGTGCATTAAACCCACCTAATTATACTCCAACTGCTGCAAGTTTAGCCACCCACAAGTTTACTTAATACTAGAAGTAAAACAAGAACCACTTATTGACAAAAGTATCTCAATCTCTTCATGCAAAAAACACCAGAGCACAAAACAAAACCCTCAAAGGGGAGGAAGGAAATTAATATGAAAAAAAAAAAAAAAATACAAAATTTGCAACTTAAAAAGTTCCGAATGCAATGCTAAACTCCAAGGTTGCGCCCACTAGACTAGTCTGATTCTGTCTTATTCGAAATGCTAAGCACAAAAGGCCACTCAAACAGTTCAAAATTTCAAATCCACTAATGCAAACAAAAGTCATCCACAAACTCCGAAAATGACAGCCAATGTGGTCAATTCGAGTGGAACATTTATCTTTTTGTCATACAATACCAACCGACTGAAGTTGGAAAATGGTTACTCCAGGCATAATTGTTCCCATTCATGGAGTGGGTCCCACTCCAAGGGTGAGGAGGGAGTGTGATAGGAAGTACTCAACAAACATAAAGCTTGTTCCTTTAGATTAGGGGATAAGCAAATTCTTTAATTGGAATAAATAGTTCATAGGTTGGCGAAAAATTCAGTCTGAAAATTGAAGAGACAGTGTTTGAACGAGAGAAGGCTTGAAGCTTCAAAAGAATACATTCACTTGTGTAAACCACAAATGAAAAGAACCAGTTTTTTCTATGAATAAATCAACTGAACAGTAAGCATCAGGTGAGACTTAATGTACAATACTAGGGACAAATGTTTGGGCATGCATCGTGAGCACCTGTTCAATTCTAATTTTGACTTGAAATTTTTGGTGAAGAACCAAATTCATCATGGAAATATTTTCCAAGGGTGATAAGAGCATGCAATATCCAAAAATTATACAGTGAACAAAATTTGAAAGGAAAAATCAATAAAAAGGAGAAGCATCATCAAAGAAGCAGAAAACTGAAGATACTATTTGATCTCCCATAAAACATGGGATTCCTAAGGTGAAAAATAAAATAAAAAATTGACCGAGAAAATGAACAAAGAAGAATTGATAAAGGACTCACCTGAAATTTCATACAACATGCAGGCCATTAACTTCATTTGTATGCTGAGGAGAAAAACTGTTTTCTGTAAATAAAGGACAAATCCCAAGTCAGTGTTTCCTATTGTGTCTGTGGGATCGAATTTTTTACTTTTTAATCTTCTCTTGAAGCACAAACTTCCAAATGCTAATGGCAAAACCGATCTTCCCTTCAACGAAACAATTGTTATTACTTGGAAGTTGGAAAAGTATCCTCCACCAACAACAAAAATTGCAAATTTTTGTACTCTGGATTTTTTCTTAACCCCCTTGGAAAAATCGACCAATGTATCTAAAATATCCAGTCTTTGCTTTCAAGGATATTCACAAAGCAATCACACAAACTGTACACATAATCAAGCAACGATTGTATACACAAGATTTCACGTGGGAAAAGAAATCCAACAAAAATTCACGGCATCCAGCTCCTCAGTCAATATTTTCAAAAATTATGGAGAATCTAGAAAAGCCCCCCCAAAAAAAGGCGAACGAGATTGGAAAAATCTCAGGAAAAAAGAAGGGTGAGAAAAAACAAGACAGCCCCACAAAATTTTTCTACGGAAAAAATGAGCTCGTATTCAGACAAACTCAAGAAGACCCAAAGTTCTCTATTTTTTTTTTTAAAAAAAAAAAATCTGTGACAGGTATTTACAANGGGTGAGTATCAAATTCCAATTTCCAAACCGACCAAAAAGAGAGACCCAGTGGTGAAAATCACCAACCCACTTATTAAAATGGAGACCGAAGATTAGTAGGTGTCGGGCACCCACTAAAGACTGCAAATTTACATAATAATAGAGAAAGAAATATGGGGAAAAAAGAACAAAAAAGATCGGAAAGTGTGAGGAATAGTGTGTGTGAGAGAGAGCGCTTTCCAGTGAGAGGACCAACGGTTGTGGTGGCAAAAGTGTAGAGAGAGAATAGTGGGAGATTGGGACCAGCACAAAAGGAAAAAATAAAAAGACTATGGAAAAGAAAAGAATAATGATTAATAAAATTATTCATATTATAGCTGATTTGTAAGGAAAAAANATTTGTAAGGAAAAAAAAAAAAAAATATCTACGTTGCAAATTTTTATAGAAGGGTGTTTTTGCCCGTAAAGGGGATGTTTATTAAGATTAATAAAATTATTCATATTATAGCTGATTAATAAAGAAAAAAAAAGTCTACGTTGCAAATTTTATGGACGGTGTTTGCAGTAAAGGGGGTGTTGTAATATTAAATAATATTATCATATTATTAAGTTACAGATTAAAGTCTCTACGTTTATTTTATTTATAATTTAATCTCTTTCGAAAAAAATGATAGTAAAAGACACGAGCTTTTGATGTTTACAAATAAAAATAAACGGTGAACAAATTACCGATTGCTAAAAGTTTATGCGCTTGTGACTTTATTGTCAAAATTGAAAGATTGTAATTATATTGCAAATGAAGCAAAGATTGAGATTTTATTTGAATTTAGTCATCTTTTCCTGTAATATGAATGGATATACGGTAATTAACGAAACCCATTACAATATCAAATGTCGAAGAATTGTAAATGAGAACAAAAAAAAAAAATAAAAAAATTATTAACCATGACTGCTCTTATTTTTCTGTACTATACAGTTGGTAGATGTAGTTGACAAAATTGAATTGTGTTATGAGATATAAAGTTATAAAATAACAGTTAATTTTTCCAACAATAGATTATTATAAAGTTGGTTTACCAAACAGATTCATCCTAAAAAATTACTTTATCCTAAGATTTACTATTTATATCCTCATTCAATACTTAATTACTTACGTAATGTTTGATAACCAAATAAGATGGCTTATAACTTATTTGGTTAACGTATATAAGCTTCCTATTCAAATAAGCTTTATTTGATAGGACGAACTTTGTCAAAAAGCTCGAGTTTATCTCATAAATTTCTTTAAGTAGCTTTTCAAATAAGCTCGTTGAATTTTTTATTTCAGGTAGCATATCAGCTAATTTTGTCAAACACTTTTATTATATAAATTAGTTTTTCAACTATAATTTATAAGCTTAAAAATAACTTATAAACTATAAGTTAATTTATCAGCTAATTTTACCAAACATAGTCTTAACCTTTTTAATCTATTTATCAACAAGCAAGAGTGAAAAAATTGAATATATAGATTGAGCATAAAATACCAAAAAAATTAAATCAGGAACTCGACATCAACTTCTATAAAATTAAATCACAAAAAATGTGTAAAATATCAAAAAAAAATAAAAATAAAAATAAATAAATCATGATTTTGACCTGACTTTATTCCATTGCACCCTATTCAACCATGCTGCATGAAATTGTTCGTTAAAACCAACAAACATACACACACATGACACAAAGGCCAAACAGAAAAACACACAAGATGAGTTTAATGTTTTCTTGTTCTTTGCTTGAGCATGCAATTTTGGAAGATAGTTAGATTGTAATAAAGAGTGTGAATTTTGGAATTATACACACAAAAGCAATACATTTATGCTGTATTTGTTGTCTACTTGCGTGCAATAAATAGGTAAATGTACTACATGAGTAATTGCAATTGAGGAATTTTATGTTTAGTGTTTATGAATTTTTATGATTGAGCAAATGCAAATATTTTGTAAGGCAGTATAATGGTTAGGCGGTTGACTTATCATATAATTTCGAAGAAAAAAAAATGCATATTTAAATATTCAAATAATATTTTTATTTATGTTATTTTTTAAATTATGATATTTCATTATTAAAATTTATATTTTTATTGCAAACATAACACTATTTAATGATTTGTCCGTCTAACAACAGTATTACTTTTTAACGAAATTAGTACGCAACTCGTGCGATGTACAGGGTAATAATTATAAATTGCATGTATTAAAGCAATGAAGAAATATTGATTAATATAAAAATAGTTTTGAATGTTAATAATTCTTTTTTTATGATGTATAATAGTTTAATATACGTTTTATATGTTTATTTTTACTCATTATAAAATAGTTGTCATTTTAGATCCTATTTATAATTAAGAATAATGAAAATTTAACATATTCAAATATTATCCATTAATAATGCTCACATAATACTTCTCTCTCTCTCTATCTTCTCTTACCCATACCTTGTTACAATATATTATTTCAATTTTCAAATAAGTTAGGCTAAAGTTGAAAAATTGTGGCAAATATTATAAACAACACTTAATTGAAAAAGATTGTAATATATATTTTTTTTGAAGTTAAAAATATATTAATTTTTAATTACATCAATCTTATTTTATTTTTCTTATAATTTATAATATTATAAATATTTTAATTTTTCTTTATTATCTATTTGGTTTATATGAGATTTATTATGATATTGTGAATCACAATAGAAATTTAAAAAAATTGTTTTGGTGCAATTATTGATAAAATCAAAGGATATATTTGAACTTTTAATAGATAATTTTTGGTGTATGGCTCATTACGAAATGAATAGAAAATCATAAGGGATATCAATTCTATTATAGTATTGTGGTAGTTATATCAATAAGATTTTTGCAATTGATTACTAACTTTATTTATTGCGTATATTTTGTAATATTCTCACGCATATTTCGATCAACACATGGTTGGATACCCAACAAAACAGGAGAACACATGATTTGTTATTAAGGATAGAGATTGGTTTGTTATTAGAGATAGATAGAATTTTGAAAAATTTAAACAGTTGACTTATTGATAAATCAAAGGAATCCTCTTGATTAAATGCTTTTTTTGAAGATATGATAAAAAGAAATATTTTGATATAGGTTTGTTACCAAATGAATAAGTAATCACCGTGATTTGTTATTAATGTTGATAAATAAGATTCTATTGTAACATAAAATTTTTATAATTGATTTTTAATTTTTATTTTGTACATATATTTGTAATTTTATCGACTCACTTCGTACTCGGATGACTGTCTTCTCATCACCTGACTTACTGGACGAGCAGTGCTGCTGCTCGGCAGTCACCCGCTTTGATCCTGCCTTCTATCGTGCATATTCAAATAATATTTAATAAAAGTGAAATATATTTAATAGACGTTTTTTGAATACATGTTGTATAGTTGGTTATCAAGAGAATAAGAAATTGCAGTGATTCGTAATTAATATAAATAATCGAACTTTTATTGCGATAATTATCACAAAATAATTTTCAAAATTAATACCACTTTATTATATAGAAAGTCGTGTTATTACAAGTAGGTATAATTAAATTTTTATTTTTTATAAATATTAAAGTAATTATTACTATATTTTCTTTAATAAGCGATATGTGGTTTGAAAGGTTTCTTCTTCATTCAATATGTAAGGTTTCTGCTTTCTTTCATTCGGAAGTGCTAAAGAACAGAGCTCCTCAATTTGTAGTGAAGGGCAAGGTTTGGAACCCAGGGATTACTTACCATTCATGATAATTACAAATTCAAAATTACTATTTTAGATTATTCCATCTATCTATTTCATTTAATATATATAGAGTTCAGTATTTTAGTTTTTCAATATTGCTTAGGATAACATTTTAACAAAATACTGTCCCTTTTCAAAATTAACTTTTTATGAAATGGATTTTTGAATGATTAATATAATTGAGAGTAATGATTGTACTTAGATATAATTAATTAAAGTTATATTTGAATTCAAATTTTGTTTGCCAATAGAGATGGAACCACATAAATAATCATTAAGCTGTTAGCTCTGCCGAATGCTATGCGATTTGATTTAAATCAGAGAGACGATGTCTTGTAGAGGTTGTAATTAAATTTCAAATCTTTCATTATCAACTATTTAAATTGTGTAGTATTCAATTTCAGAATATGTAGCATTTGAACTTTTCACATAAACTAAAATAATTATTTAGATATGAGAATCGTTAACTGTGGAAGTCAACTATCATAGTTATATATGAATTGCTATGGATATATAATTACAAGATTTAAATATTAGTTTACACTTTTTATGGAATTATCTTCAATGGACAATTAACCTAGGGATATAATTCATAGGTAAAAATAAACAAGTTGATTGTAAAATCTATCACATTCGCACCCATGGGCCTATTGGAAGAAAATTTAAGAACACGTGGACTTTACCTATTAATTTGATATGCCAAGACTTATTTTTTTTTTTCTTCCTTTTTATTATTAATTTTACTTTTTTTTCCGGAAGAGATTAAACTTTAACTTCAATAATGGTAGTAATATACATCGTNGACAAATTTTGTGCTATTAATCTCTTAAGATGTGGTAGATCATACAATGTTGTCTACCACACATTGTAGCTAACTAGCTATTGATTAGATATGAGGGGCTATTTAATATTTTCATAAAGCTTCCAGAAACAATCAAATGTCAAGATACAAGTATGTTGTTCTTATGTCAAAATATTTATAGGCTTAAAAAAACTATTGTTTTGTTATATAATTTGATGACACACACACACACACACACACATATATATATAATTATATATATTCAAAAGAGGAGAGTGTTTTTAATTTTTATATCTTTCTTTTTCCATTTGCATGAGATGAATTGATATCATTAGAATTTAAAGTAGTATACTTAAAAAATACAAATAAAAAAATCAAGGGACCAAACTGCGGACACAAATGGCCCCTATCACCATGAAAGGCTATCATTAGAAGAAAACAAAACAAAATTTTGGAAAAAAGATCATAATTGTATAATAGTTTTCTGCACTTACCCAATAAGTTGCCAGGTTGTGCAGGGCCAAGCGCATTTAGTTCTGACCACTACAAAATAATTCTGAGATGATTCACTTAAAAGAGTGAGAATGAGTTACTGATATAATTGCTCATGTTAAATTTACTTTCGAATAGCTACCATTTGCAGCGTTGAGTTGATTTACCTTATAACGAATGAGAATGATAAGTTTACTTTCAAATAGCAACCATTCTTCTAAACGAATCGTTTCCTGAGCTTGGCTCAATAAGGCTCATTAAAGTTCAAAAAGATGAATTTTTATATAATTGTCTATAGTTTGACTCATTTAAGCTCGAGCTTGATTACTAGTTTGCTAAGGGCTCGAACTCGTTTAGGCTGTTTTACACCCTAGTACTCAGACGATTCACTTAAAAGAATTAGAATGATGTTAAATGTACTTTCAAATAGCTACCATTTTTTTTCATATTGAGATGATTTATTTAAAAGAATATCATGTTTATCTTCTAAATTTTTGTGTTCAATGTATAAAAAAAACAAAATACATCGTTTTCAACAAAAAAAAAAATAAAAAAAAAAATCAACAAGTTGAGTTGATATCCGTTGCCTTGATTATTTCATTGTATATATAAAAGAAAAATTAGATTTGGCATTATAACATTGAGTTTGAGGGGCCATTGAACCTCCAAAGTCCCAACAGTGACATTTTTGTTCACTTAATTTGAAATCACCCCCTAAGAGACAAGAATAAACATTTCTTTTAATCCTAATTGTGGCGTGTTACATGTTCAAAATATATATATAGATTCAGGCATGATAAAATGATAATGTATCAAAACTATATTTCATCTCCATATATATCATACGAAAAATTGATATATGTGAATTGCCTTGTAAATTTCATATTTTAGATTTAATTTGCACATCCTAATTATCTACATGGCACATGAGTGGTGTTGAAAATAAAACTCTATCAAAATGTTAGTCTACTTTAAACTAAGGTTCAAGTAATAATACTATATGGAGCCATAGCAAAACTGTGTGCATAACAGTACGTAAGAAATACATTATTCCACAAATGGAGTGCCTTTACTATATATTATATAATTTCTTTTTGCTTAGCAATAATAGCTCATTTTCTATATCAAACTCCTATAATTCTCTTTAACACTCGACCACAATAAAGATCTATATAATAGTTCAATTAAGTTACGGTAAGTGGTACAGTTCAATAATATATAGCTCTTTATCAGTTTTTCTATAGAGCCAACCTTCTATATACAACAGTTGACTTCATAGCAAAATTGTACTAATTATATCTCAAATTTGAAAAATAGTAGGAAGTAATAAATATTGACACTTGTTACAGCAAATAGAGTAAGTGTGAATTAAACACAACAAATTACTTGTGCAACGTGAACATGGGGGCAAATAAATAAAGGGACCTTTGTTGACACTTTAATTGTTAGAGCTGTCAATCTGTCATGACTCATAACATATATTATGAGCTATCGTTGAACATGGGACAGTTTTTTGTCATTCTTTGTTAAGAGTTGAGTCGAATGGGTGGTCGAGATGCCACGATCCATAGACTATTGTCTTTTCATTGTCCATTGTATTGCAATCACACACACACGAGGGAATTTTTTCCCGGGATATAATAGAAGATTTTTTTTTTCATTTTATTGTTACTGTTATTTGTTTGTCAGTAATGTTCTAGTACGGATATACATATGACGGTTTGGCAAAATTGGGCACCAATAAACTACATTTCGAAGGTAAACTTTCATTTTCTTGTTAAGTGTTAAAAATAACACAGAAAAGTCAAGACTATTATTATACAAATTTAATAATGATTTGACAATCATGCATTTTTAATATATATATATATATATATATATATATAAACATACATATAAATATATATTTATTTATTAAATTGAAATATTATTCTCTACAAAACAATATAAACGAAAGTATGACATAATAACATAAATGAGCATTTTTGTTATAAATATATATATGTAGATTGACTTGTCTAATAATTAGACAATCTCACAGAAAAAAATTATATTTTAAAATCATACGAATACAAGTATTATTTTTTTATTAGAAATCTTTGAAAATATATTTTTGATTTAATTAGAACATATTCGGTTTTACTAAAAAAATCAAATTCATGGAAAAAAAAAAAAGTACCCCCTTAGTTTTCACTTTTTTCTCTTGAAATGAAGCCCACAAGCAGCAGCACTCATTTCATGTCTGAACTAAGTCATGCCCACAAGACCACAACCCTACTTTTTATCTCCCAACACATGGTGTCCAAGATTGGTTGACAACTAATTACCAATTATTTTGAAGTTTTTTACTAAAGCTTCTTCCCAAAGAAAATCAAACAAAGTTTAAACATTCAATTTTTCACTAACCTTCATCCACGAGGTCCTACATGGCTAAACAAAACTTTCCAAACAGCTAAACTCCCACTAATTAAATGTAGCTTCAGTCTTAAGAAAATTATCTTTCATGCAATTTATATGTCGAACTGTCTTTTTTTTTTTCTTATTCTTTATGTAATTCGAAAGAAAAAACACATATTTTTATTTATTTATTAACAAAAGCAAGCTTTTTATTCCAAACAAGATTGTCTTGCAAAGAAGTTGGTAGTGTGGGAAATTATGTGGCGTCCATATACTTTTGATGACTGGACCACAGCCGTGTGGGCCCTTTTCAACTTAGTTGCAAGCGTATCATTTTTTTCATATATTATTTAACACAGCCTTTTTGTTTATCGCAAGGAATAATGATCGGGCGTTTATAAGACAAGGTTTTATACTTTATATAGTCCAAGATGAGTATGAAATAACAAAGTTCTTAAATCATTGAACTCAAAAGACCTCATGTGTGTCGTCATTCTCAAGTAGGACAAAGGGGTTCTAACTGTGTACCAAATAAACCCGATTAATATATTGTGAATACAATTAGGTGAGATAATATAACCTATGTTTTATGAAAGATTATTGGACATACATATTTTCATTTTTATTCATTCATCCAACAATCAAGAAATACATTATTCATCTCTCTCATTCATTTATCTCTCTTTCTATACTTAAATTTTAAAAAATAAAAGAATGATAACTATCAATAATTACATTACACTGATCACATGTGGACAATGATAAAGCAAACAAGGGGCAGGACAAGTAATTTTCAATGCCTAAGGCACACATAAAAAGTGACTTAACTGAGCTGTATTTATGTAACCCCTACCCAAGTCCTAATAGTTTCATATTTCGTTGTATTAGATGAATCTCATGTTTATAATGAGGATTTGTAGTT